TAAGCTCTAATTTTAATTAACATGTCTGGTCTTAAGTTTTAATGATGTGAACTTTCTTAAATTATGGTAAAACACAAGTAAGACACAAAATTTTCCTTCAAGAAAATAATTGTCCAGAATTCACAAATAACTTGGAAATAGTGAGAACAGACTTTCAGTCTCAATCCTTTTTAGACAGGTGGAAACTATTTCCACTTGCAGCAAGAATGGAGCTGGCCTACACATAATCCGTTCCTGCTGCATTGCGTTTTTAAAAAATCTCAAAATAAAATTAAAGGATATCTACAGTTATAACTGAGTGATATTAGTATTCAGTAGAAAAGGGAAAAAGGTATCAACCTAGTTTTCATGTCTAATTAGCCATCTGTTCTTGTCTTTTTTCTATCTTACAACTGGAATTCTTTGGCTGCTCAAAATCAGTGATGTTCTCATTAAATTTCAAGATACTGCTCTGATGTTCTGCACACACTGTATTTCCACAAATTCGATGGTTTTGGACTCATGATGCCTTAACAGAATCTGAGGATTAAATAAAATGAGAAGATTAATGCATGCAATACAAGACAGCACCTCATTAGTTGCAGTAACACAGCAACATGTGACTTGCAGCATGAAAAAATATTTCTAAACACCCATATTCCACAGAGAGCTCAAACCTCCCCAAATGTGAGGGTGTCTTTCCCAGACGCATCCAATCCCTCTGACAAGCTCTTCATCCAACTTTAGAACCCTTAATTCACACAGGGCAGCCTCACTAGCCTACCCAGGAAGCTGGCAGACAGAAGTTACCACTGTCTTCTGCCATGCCACAAGCTCACAATTAAGACTTGACCTGCTCAGACTGCAGGACTGCATCCTGCCTTGATCTGAAGGATCTTTCAGACAGAGAACAGAAGTTATTTGGAACAGTCTTTTAATATCTATTTTGGAAAAAGTTATCCAAGTTATGAAAAACAAACTGATATCTGTTCACTTCCAGCAGCCTTCTCAGGAAAGCAACAATGACACACTGTCTTCTAGACTACTTTCCAGCGTGCTTTTGACAACACCGTCTCACTTAAGCTACTTACAAAACTTCAATCTATTCTCTTTCTTGCAGTCAGTAAAAGCCTCCATTTTGTGTTCAGTATACCCCTGAAAAGATGCAGGATTATTTGCTTATTGCTGATGATCGCCTGGGCAAGAGTCCTACAAGCTTGTATTTACCCACAAGTAAGGCAGTTGCCACTTTGTGCAAATCAAACATTTCCCTGTGCATAAAACAAGTTACTTTAGGCTGGCTATATACCTCAGCAAATACAGGATCCTAACAGCTCTGCAGGCATTTGCATGAATAAAACATGACTATACAACAACAGTTAAGAACAGATATGATGGATTAAAGTTTGATTTCAATGCAGTGTAAAACGTCTGTGTAAAGGCATTTCCCTCTGGCCATGCACAAGGATGCCAGCAGCAGTCAAGTAAGTTAAGTATTAATTCCACAGCTTGATAAACAGATGGGCTTTGGCCTCAGTAACCCCTATATTCACAGGGACATATACTCTTTCCTATATTATTATTACCCTTATCACCACCTTGGACCTCCGCCTGCAGCTAGAATGAGAAAGTGTAAGGGAAGACATCCCTTTGCCCCTTGGAACACCACGCACTTCAGAAAACTCTACCTGGGTGTAACTCCAGAAGTACAAGAGGCTATAAGACTTCCCAAAACTTTGAAGGTATGGAATGTGGTATTTATTCTCTTTTCCTCTTCCTCTGAAAACCTTGCCCAGGGTTTCTGGGAAACATTGACAGGCCTGTAGTGCTTATTTGTTCAGCAAAATTTTAACTTCTCTAAGAATGAAAAGCATACTATGTGCAATTTATTTAGCACTGTTATAAAACTTATCATAGAAGCATACAATCATAGGTTGGAAAAGACCTCTAAGATCAGCAAGTCCAACCATCCACCCAACAACAGCCTACTAAACCATATCCCAAAGCACCGTATCTACGCATCTTTTAAACACTTCCAGGGATGGGAACTCCACCATGTTCCTGGGCAGCCTATTCCAATGCCTGACCACTCTTTTCAGTAAATAAATTTTTCCTAACATCTAATCTAAACCTCCCTGATGCAACTTGAGGCCATTGCCTCTCATCCTATAGCTAGTTACCTGGGAGAAGAGACCAACATCTGCCTCATTACAACCTCCTTTCAGGCAGTTGTAACGAGCAGTAAGGTCTCCCCTCAGCCTCCTCTTCTGCAGACTAAACAGCCCCAGCTCCCTCAGCCGCTCCTTGTAAGACTTGTTCTCTAGACCCCTCACCAGCCTCATTGCCCTTCTCTGGACACGCTCAAACATCTCAGCGTCCTTGTAGTGAGGGGCCCAAAACTGAACACAGTACTTGAGGTGTGGTCTCACCAGTGCCGAGTACTGGGGCGCAATCACCTCCCTACTCCTGCTGGCCACACTGTTCCTGATACAAGCCAGGATGCCATTGGCCTTCTTGGCCACCTGGGCACACTGCTGGCTCATGTTCAGCCAGCTGTTGACCAACACCCCAAGGTCCTTTTCTGCCAGGCAGCTTTCCAGCCACTCCTCCCCAAGCCTGTAGGGTTGCATGGGGTTGTTGTGACCCAAGTGCAGGACCCAGTATTTGGCGTTGTTGAAACTCATACAGTTGGCCTCGGCGCATCAATCCAGCCTTCTGATTCATGTCAAAACCACTCAAACTCATTAGAGAACTTGCGTGTATTTTTTGCCTTGTCATATCACTGATGCGAGAGAAGTGGATGTTGAAAATAGAAAACATCAGTATTGCTGACTTACAAACAAAGAGGAAGGTTATAGATGCATTCCAGAACCAAACTTTTCATCAGATAGGCTCAAAAAAACCACAAAAGCAGAGGCTGAGTGTTATCACACAGATACAGAAAAAATCCTTGTGACAGACTCAACAAGAGATCTGGCCTACAGTATATAAGATGCAGATTACAGGAATTACTTAATTAACACCACATTAGAAGTAAGTTCTGCTGAAACACTTCTTGGTTAGGGAAAGCATTTCAAAAATCCTGGTGTAGTGCTCATATCAAGGCTCAAATTTTTTTTGGTCTTCCATGTAAAACAGTTACCTACAAATTTCTTCATCTTTCAACTTTCTCAAAGTTCTCTACCAGCACATTTTCTCCCCCCAAAAGTGAGCATTTCAAATGGCTGCCTCCCCATCCTCAGGCCTTGCATTTCTAGTGGAATCTGGCTAAAATTACTGAGTCCTTGTGAGCATCCAGCCACACCCATGCCAACACATCAAAACAACAATTTCATATTTGGCTCTTCTTCCTGTGTATCTAATGGCCTATTTGTTTTCTGCCTTCCTCTACCATTGTTTCTCAAAATATGAGCAAAGCAACTTGCCTGGAAATGCCTTTGAGTGGAAGTAACAGCTATTGAGCTACTGCTACACTTGAACTTTGCCATTTACCATCTGAGTTCAACAAGAGTTATTGACAATGACTTCAACAAAGGACGCTTGTGTATAATCACAGAAGTCAACTGCACTCTGAACTATAACAATTTATAAATAACTCCTGCAAATTCTAGAAAGGAGATTTTATTGCTTAATGCACAAAGGCCTAGTGAAAATACATCTAGCAGTCCACAGAAATACCTTTCTATGCACACCTTGCTCTGCACACATGAAAAACTGTAATGCTTAAACTATGAAGTGCCCTTTCCTGAAATTAAAAAAGTAAACCATAAATTTGAGGATGCTGCCTAAATTGACACTATCTACTCTGAGAAGAGGTACAGACCAGCCAGTGGAAATACCAGTGCTCTGCCCATGCTCAGAGCCAATCTGAGGCCATGTGACCACATTACTGCAGGATTACTGCGCTTTATGTGCTACATACTTCTCACAGGGACTTACAGCTTGAGCCTCCACCACAGCATGAACACACCAATCTTGATTAACTGAAAGTACTGCCAGATCATGTAGGTGCCTGCTTAGATACATCAGATCTAACCAAAGCCTTCCAATAGCTACTAATCCTGACACAGAAGTACTTCCCGAATTGAGGATATAGGTGTGTTCCAGCCCTGACAGACTCGTTGGTGCCTGTGAAAAGAGCACTGTATAAGAGTTAGGTGCAATACTGCAAAGACTTCTCCAATATTTATGCAAGTACATAACCCAAGTTTCCCATGATCTTTCATATACTTGACACAATGTACATGGGACACAATCCATGTTGAATCAGGTTCCAACATATACTCTAACTAAGGAGCAAATACACATCCATAAGGAAAATAACCTAAATCTTCCATTATAGTAAGAACATCAAAAAAGCAGAGAGATCAAAACATCCTTTATAGTCAGTATGGATGTAAGCTCTAGGTAGACAAGGAAAAAAGGAGTGAGAGGCCACGCATTTCATCATCTTGTTCCAAGACTTATCTACACTCTTATAAAGAATTTTAAACCAGAGCTGGTTAGACAATGTTAGTTTGACACAACATACATTTATTTTAAATTGCTGCTGCTATATCTTAACTAATTATCACAAATAACATGATCTACAATACAGAGCAATTAGAATAGATCTTAGTGTTCCAGTTCTGTAGTGAAGTATTTTAGGTGAAATTACAAGCGGTAGAACATAAATTTATTGTTTTGCATCAAAAATATGAATCAGTGTAAAACTAGGTTCCATATGGTTATCTATAACAAAACTCACTGTGCACAAATAATCACTGACCCTTTTCACCTCTTAACTCGCTTTCAAGATGCAATAAATCAGGTATTGGCATTTTAGATATTAGATCTTGACATTCGTGGTGTCAAAAGTCCAAAACAGCAACTAAGAATTCTTACTTCATGTGAGCAGAGACCATTTATATTTATCTCTACTATAGAAAGCATCAAACTGCTCTTGTGACGTTTCACAGAGGCACAGAAAATATCATGCAGCAGAAATATCATAGTTTTGTGCTCAGTGGTGTTTTCTTCTACTAGTATCTAGTGCTAAATCCTGAGAAGTCAAGCTTGGAAATCTCCTTTTCATTAGAAAAATTTGTTCGGTCTATGCGAGAACTTGGGCTTCCAATTTTACTCAGCCAGGATTTCCTGCAAGAAAAATGAGAGGGTTAGCACATAAAGAATATGTTTAGTTCTTTTCTGTTTTCCCTCCCTTTCTCCTTTAAAAGCAAAAAACCCCACCAGATTTAAAAGGTGTCAATATTTCAAAAAGTATGACAGAATATTACATATAAACACATCTGACTAAAGGCTAAAGCAGATTTACTTTAATGATCCTTTTTAAGTGCTTATTAATAGCATTAAAATAGGTATATATTAGCTTTGCAGATTCAATACCATACTTCTAGCAAGGACATAAAACCATTCTAATTGAAAAATATTATGAAGAAAGAATTCTAACAGCCAGGGTACCCTTTTCTGATGACTAAAAGAAATGGAAACTGAAATGAAAATCATTAAGTTAAAAAAGCAAAAAGACATAAAGCAAACAAAAATCAACATGGTGTCACAAAGCAATACTAAATTGCAGTAATAAATACCAAATTTTATACAGGCATTCTTAAGTGGCCATTTTGTATGTATTTGCAGTGTAATCCAACCTTAATTATGCTGGCACTTGCCTTCTTCCACAGCACACCAGAAAATATTGAACACAAATTACTGTGAGGTAATCAAGGCTAGAAGCTGACAGTGCAATGGCTGCTCCTACACCCCCCCCACGATATTCCTATCCTGCAGTAATTTGCTAATTCACAGTAGCGATCAACTACTGTGTGATAAAAGGAGGTGCACAAACACTTGAAGTGCAGACAACAGCGCTTACAGAGAGGTTTATTGACAAAAAAATACTTTCTCAGTAATTTCTGTTGTGCTGAAGTATCAGAAATAGGAAAGTATTTTAGTGCACTGTATTTAATGAGAAATATATTTCCAAATAATTACTTCTTACAACTTTAATGACACATCAACAAGAACAGATACATAACTGATTAGTGTTAAAAAAAATATACCAAAATATACCAATACTATTCATTTAAATTCCAATCTGAAGACCACAAAAGTTATGTCTTAAATTATGTGAATTATACAATTGGAAAAAAAATCACACTGAGCACTATAAAATGCAATGTTCTTGCAGTGAGACTTAATTTTGATGTCTTTATAATGAAAATTGAGCCTAGAGATTGCTTATCTGGAACCAGTAAATAAAACACACCTGAGGTATAGAAATGTATCTTGTTAGAGACCCTATGTGACGAGGGTTTTTTTTTTAGACAATTTCTGACACAATGTAACACTGCAAAACTTCTCAAATGTCTTACCTGGTTATCAGGTTATCAGAGACAACTCATTTTCTCCAAACTGTGCTAGTCCTTTGTAAGATTGCTCTCATCACTACCACAGACAGTTCCAAACCTGCATAGGTCCCGAATACAATTAACCTCATTCTTGAAACTCCATGCGCAGTCTTTTGATTATGAAGAAATATATACCCTTAATACTTTATTAAGAGAGCAGGTATGTCCTACTACTCATGTATTTTGAAATCTAACCCTAGGAGTATGCTTGCTGGATTATAGAATTTCAGTGCCAAAAAAACCTGTGACCTCTTTCCTATTTGACCCCTAAAAAAAGAGGATCTATATGGAAAGACTTTCTAGAAAACACAAACCAGATACAAGTATTTTCATCAAGCTTCAACTTATACAGTAACTAAAATTAATAAATATTTCTGTCAGATGTTTACACATCTTCACACCTCTGTTTTGTTTCATGTTGCAAACAACCTCCCTACTTGTCTGTTTTAGATGAAGCCTTTCCAGTAAGGAGGATAACACAGGAATAGGAGTACACAAGTGAAACAAGAATCCAACTTTTCACTCTGTACTGGAGCCCTAAAGGCAAACCAGATATTTCAACAGAAGGAAAAAAGCCTAGTAATAGACCAGTCCATTTTACTCCACGTTACGAAGAATCTGAAAATCCCCTTGTTTATTTAGCAGAAGTCTCTAATACAGTTGGATGTCCTTGCGTGAGAAAAAGAATGTATTTGAAATACTGCATTACTTAAAAAATCTGTACTATTTTTAGAAGACTAACGTGATATCCACAAGTGAACAGACTATTTCCTTTTTTTCTTCTAATTTTAAAGGTGAGCTTGACCTGGACAAACCCAAAAGAAATATATTCCTTGCCCAGCCTTCACAACTGTACATAAGACCAAAATTTATCCACGGCTGTTTCCAATTCTCAGGTTCCACAGCATGAAGAAATTAACTCTGCAAACTTTGCCCAGAGCAAACTTCATTCATTGTCAGCTCCATATACTCTCACATGACTAAGGATAAAGTGCAAATATGAAAATCCAATTAAAACAATCCAGCTCCATGAAAACTCCTTACAGGATTTATAGTATATGTATTTTATTCCCTATTTAGTACAGGAAGTAGGGAAGGAAGCGCTACAGAACTGCTCCCTATCTGGGATTTGCATGACTACAGGGGTTCAGTTCACCACTGAGATGTTAATACTTTGCAATAGGATTGATCTTTCCTTGCTTAGCTCAAGTGACAGACCATTCACTGAACACTATGAAGAAGCATATTTCTTACAAGCTAAGAAAGCAGGAAATCAGTATTTGCTAAAAGTATCCAGATCAACAAGCCCAAGTTAGGAAAAGGTTCTGTACCCTCTTCTTGCTTCACTCAGCTTTCTTAATTTTATTTCACATACACCATGAATTTCAGATCATGCAACATGTTCAAGAGACTAACTACAGTTACTAGCATTCGCTTGCCATTTATAGCATCCATTTTAAAATCCACTCCGGCGACCCACTTCTATTCAGGAGTGAGAAAGACAGCCTTCACCTTGCTAGCCACATGGGGTAGGTCTGAACCAAATGAGGAAAATCCTTTAGTCTGCGACAGGAGAGTATATAGCTTACGCTTCAATTTGACAGGATCTATTTCTAAAGCAGCACTGCTTCAATAAGCCTGGAACAAGAGCTAACCCCCAAATAGCCATTTCCTACCACGTTTTATTTCTCAAGTATTGCATGTCCACGCAACCACTCTTGGCCATGCTCTGATCTCACTGTTTAAAACCAAACTGGCAGTGCAGGGACTAGATGGACTCAGATACACTTTAACCAGATTTATGAGTTCTACATCTTCCTCTTCTGGCGGAGAAGCTGGGCAGGCCAGCACAGGGGGCTGGCAGGGATGAGGGCCCTGGGGTCACTCCTCAGGGCGTGCAGCACTCCCAGCATCCCTTTCCCACCCTCTGCCACAGAGTTGGGAACACCCAGCCGATCGATTCAGACAGCACCCGACAATCAGCTGCTGCCGTGTGGGCCATCTACCTGCTTCTGCAAGCTCCTCTACAGCCTCACAGCCAGCAACCACCCTGCAACTGGGCCCCATCCACCCCAGCTGCCATATCTGGGCAGGGCTGCTTGCAAAATACCCCAAAATCAACCCAAACAACATTCCCAAGCACACCTGACACTCCAGGCATTATTACTGAAGCCACTTGGAGCACACTGATTTTCTCACCCTTCTGGACTTCACTTCCTCAGCCCAGTTAGGACAGCCTGCCTGAAACAGCTTCCCAGCCAAACTTCAACACACACGTTCTCCATCCTCATATTCATGGCAACTCATTCCTAGGGTTTAAAACAACTGGATCTATCATTCTTTTCCTCTTATCATTTCATTAACTAAAACAAACCTTGCTAAGCAACTCTGCTTGTTACCTAGGCAACCAAGCTCTTTCCATTCAACACGTTATTGGAAAACAACACTTGAAGAGCTGGTTTTGCACTGTTTCCATTTAGGTTCCTGCAGAAATAGCCTGGCTGTGTACAGTACTCCAAGCATGCATCTTTCTTGCAAGCTGAGGCACACATGCCTGCTTATTAACTTGTCAGAATGAAGCCTGACCAGGTCAAATCTGGAGAATTCTCTGGCAACGTTACTTAAGGAGCCTTAGCTCTGTAATACAAAGCAATACTAGCACAGCCCTAAAAAACACCACAGTTCGAATACTACAGGCAGTAGAGTAACTTTGATTTCCTTTACTAAACTTCTGTTTTTAAACTGAAATCTATGATATAAACCAGATTTCTCTAAAATAACTGGCTTGGCACTTCTCCGACTGAAAATATTTTCCTGCTTTAATAAGGAAAAAGTAACTGATGCAGGAAGAAACAAGCCTTCTGCACCTTTACACAGCAGGCACGCCAAGCAAGCCTGTACATTAACAATGCATTTTTCCTGTGCTAGACTCTGCATCAAACCATCGGTATACACAGGACGCTTCTGCAATAGTTCATTTAGTGCATGCAAAAAGCCAAACTACTTTATCCTGAGACTGGAGCCATTTACAGTCTATAGTGCTAGAAATGGACCTGAAAATTACCTGTGACCTATAGCATTAATATTTGGTGAGCTAGGCACAATTTAGGAATATGTTTGTTTCTCTTCACCTTAACCCCAACGTGACTTACAGTGGAACAAGAGAAACATGTGGCTTTATTTAGAGTGAAAAAAAATAAAGGCACTGGCTTGTTTACACTTTATTTCCCTTTGTTTGGGATAAAATATTGGAGAGAGTGCTGTTTTTTGAAGATTGTATTTACATCTGTGACAGTGTATAGACTAGGACTGCAAATATTTACAAAATACCTCAAAAATGTTGTTGTATGCTGAAACAGTACTGTCAAGTTTTCATAAATCCTGATATTTAAATTTTTGCAGAAGTGTGGAATTCTTTTTCAGTGCTGTCTGGCTTCTGAGCTTTTGGGAAGAACTTCAGCCACGATTTTCAAGCTTTTCTTTCAAGGTCAGGTTGGATGGGGCTTTGAGCAACCTGGTCTAGTGGAAGGTGTCCCTGCCCACGGCAGGGGGGTTGGAACCAGACGATCTATAAGGTCCCTTCCAATCCAAACCATTCTATGATTCTGTACAATCTAAGGGGTAAGAACATTTTACGTAAAACCTTTGTTTTTATAAACCTGAAATTCACATCTAGGTAAGGCCTCTAGTAGCTTGTGTAGTAAAGACATCTCACAGCTTACTGCTGAG